GGGGAGTTGGGTGGGGGGATGGGTGAAATAGGTGAAGGGGATTAAGAGGGCACTTATCATGTCTGTTGCACTGAGAAATGTACAGAATTGATGAATCACTCTATTGTATGCCTGAAGCTAATATAACACTGTATGTTAACTGTACTGGAATTAAAATAAAAAAACATAAACATACATACATAAAATAGTATAATAAAAATATTCAAAGTACAGAAGATAGCAGGGGCACCTGGGTGGCTCAGTCCATTGAGTGTCTAACTCTTGGTTTCAGCTAGGGTCATCATCACAGGATCATGAGATCCAGCCCCACATGGGGCTTCTTGTTCAGCGGGGAGTCTGCTTCCCCTCTCACTCTGCCCCTTCTGCCTGCTCACACACTTACTGTTTCTAAAATAAATAAATAAATAAAATTTTACAAAATACAGAAGATAGAAGAAAAGGAATTAGAGAGATAAGACAACCAAAAAAGCAGGGGCAATCAGAAAATAATTGATAAAATCATATACTTAAATATAACTACATGAGTATTTGTGTTAAATTTTAATATTCTACAACATTTCAATTAAAAGACAGAGATTGACATTAGATCAAAGCACACATGCAGCTCAACTACATGCTATCTCAAAGACATACATATAAATATAAAATACAAATAGGTTTAGTTAAAGAAGAAAAAGAGTGTACCATGCAAATGGTATGCATAAGCAGGCTGAAGTGGCTTTATTAACAACAGATATCTAGATTTCAAGATAAATAGTGTTACCCGAGATATAGAAGGACATTTCACAATTAAAAAGGACAACATTCATCCTAAAGATATAATCACATATGCACGTGCTTTATAAGAAATCTAAAAACAAACAAAAGAAATCTACAAAATGCAAAAAGCCAAAATTATGGGAATTAAAGCGACAAAAAAATTCCCAATCACATCTGAAAATTTTAAACTCTTCTCTCAGCAATTGGCAGACATCAGACAAAACCTTCACTGGAGACACAGAGGATTTGAAAAACCAACTTGATCTAAATTTCACTTATAGAACAGTATTTCCAACTGCAAAGTACGACAACTTTTTTTTAACGTATGCAAGATACTTTGATTTGAATAGACAGTTTTCTAGGTAATAAAACAAATTTCAGTATACTTAAAAGGATGGCAGTCATGTTACTCTGAATGGCTGTAATAAAATTAGTAATAATACATCCAGGAAAATACTATGTAAATAAAAGTTAACAATATTTTATATTGTTTATATTTATATTTTATAAATATTTATATATTAATAAAATAAAAATATTTTAAACAACATAATTAAGCAATAATGTCTAAATAATCAGTTACTCAAATACAAAATCTCAGTTAATATTAGAAAACACTTCGAGATGGGAGGGAAAATGCAAATAATATATATAAATATAATTTCAATCATTCATGCTCCTTGAAAGGATTTTGGGAGCATTCACTAAAAACACAAGTCCCATGAGAATATGACAAAACTCTTAGGGAAGTTTTTAGATCTCCAGTTGGTGGTGGTTAAATCAACTTTTTCTGGATCATGAGAATCAGAGAAATCTTCCTGGGACATCTGGATTCAACAAAGAGAAGGAGCAACAACCCCAGTTTTATCAAAGCTTCCCACTGTGTTTAAAATGAGTTCACTTATGATGCTCTGGTAGAAGTGGAAGGGAGATAGATACATGAGGTAAGGGGGTTCTGCTTAATTCAAGAAAGACAGTTCTACAATAAATTAACAATAACTGAATGCTTGATAATATTTTTAAGCATTTACATGTATTGTTCATTTAGTACACACAGAACACTTTTGTAGCTATGATTTTTGGTTTTGTAGGTATGATTAAGCTCTTTTACAGATAAACAACTTGAAGTTAAGAGGTGAAGAATCATGTGGTCGTAGAGTAAGTAGGTGAATTAGGACTTAAAGTCATGTAGGGATGGATAAAAAAATGGAATATATATAAAAAATAGAATATTATTCAGCCATAAGAAGGAAGGAAATCTTGCCGTTTGTGACAACTTGGATGCACTTGAAGGATATCATGCTGTGAAGTAAGCCAGACATAGAAAGGTTAAGCATTGTTTGATTTCACTTATATGTGGAATCTAAAAAAGGTTAACTCACAGAAGCAGAGTAGAATGATGGTTACCAGGGGTTGGAGTTGGGGGGGGAGAGAATGGGAGTTGTTGGTCAAAGGGTGCAAACTTTTAGTTGTAAGATAAATAAGTTCTATGGGTCTAATGTACAACATGGTGACTATAGTTAATAATACTGTATTCTAGAAATGAAATTTGCTGAGAGTAGTCATTAAATGTTCTTACCACACACAAAAATTGTATCTATGTGAAGTGATGGATGTGTTAATTAGCTTGATTATGGTAATCATTTCACAATGTATACGTATATCAAAACATCACACTGTATACCTTAAATACGTACAATTCTTATTTGTCAGTTATACTCCAATAAAGCTAGGAAAAAAATACTCAAGAAGTTTGATTCAAAGTTCTGGGAACTAACCACCTGCTATTAAAGCCTCTAGACTGTGGCACATAATACATAAGGAATGGAGAGAGCTTTCACAGAAAGACAACACAGATGGGAAAAATGACAATGGTGAACTGAAAAAGCCATTTAATGCCTCACTTTTTCTGCCAGAATCTAAAAGAGTATCTGCCAAAGACTAAGTCAGAGATGAAAGTGATGGTAGAACACTTTGAATAGTTCATACATCCCAGAATTATCCTGATTCTCTGGCAGAAGGTTACCAGTGCCCCTCCTCCAAAACAATAGTTGCCTTCTTAGGAAAACAAGGAAATATATTTATAATTTGTATTCTGAATGAAGGAAAATTGGCAAGTGATATTTTAAAATTTCATTTATTTAAATTTGCCATCTCTGAGAGCAGAGACAGTATTTCTTAACACTGTAGTAATTAATACATGATGTGTAATGTCTTATTTTATTTAATGTATCGTTATTACACTACTGCAAGGTGCAATAAAAGAAAATTAAAATGGCTAGGAAGGCATAATATATGGCATTTTTTCCCCCTGAATCATGCTTTTAAATAATAGTCAGTGCAGTGTCATCCAGGCCATTTGGGGATTACAAATTGTATTATTAATAAATTGTTTGCCTGAGATGAATTGAAGTAGCAGAGGCAATGCAAGTTAGATGTATCTTTCAAAGACTGTGAAGAAACTAATGTGTATGGAAGGATGTGCGTTTCCCAACTGGTGACAAATTAACCCAAGTTAACATGGTGGGTGACAACGATTGGGAAAAGATCTACTCCCTGCCATCCACTTCCTTTCCTCCCAACACTTTATCAATGCAACAGCCTTCTTCTAGATGTATTTCCTGAAAATTGTACCCAAAGAGAGTAGGTACAGTGTACAGATTGCAGAGTAGAACCTATGGTCATAGGCTTCTGCCTCTACCAGCAGCCAGAAGGATCATAGTCTCAAAAATCTGTGGTGGTTAATTAGGTCTTTGGCCCTCCCAACAATACTTGCTTCTAAATATTTCCTTACAAATATCCTGAAAATCTGGGTAGGGTCCAGATATTTTTTCTCCATGTAATTCCATATTTTCATATGGGAAAAGACAGAATACATTAAAACAATATGTGAAGAAACAAAGAAATACAGGTACATGGTTTTTTTTCAATATTTGTTAAGATGAAGAGAGGAGAAGCATCATGACAGATTTAGGAAAGAAGTTACAGAAGGCCCAGGCTACAGAGAGAGAGACAGAGAGAGAGAAACTATTATCCTGATGTGTAAGGGCATAGGTTGATTATGCCTGTTTTTGTCCTTTATCTCTCAAAGTTGCATATGTGAACCTCTGTTCATATTGTTGTAAACCATCAATTTGTATTGTCCTATAGTATTTTATTTGGCCACATGTACCACACTATTTATCTACTCTACTGCTGGTGGGAATTTGGGTAATTTCTTATGCATGTATATTACAAATTGTGCTTTTATGAATATTCTAAAACAGGTATTTTGGTAAGCACATGCATGTGTTTCTCTGGGTAAAATTAAGAGTAGAAAGGATATGTCAGTTAGTGTGGGTATGTTAGATGTGTCTCCTGTATTAGATACTTCCAAATAACAAAAGGGCTGCACGAATGTATACTCCTAGCAGCAGTGTGTGAGTTCTGCATGATCCACATTGTTCCTGGTCCTTTGATAGTCATCTTTTAGAGCTTAGCAATTCTTTTGAGTACAGAGTAAACTGATTAACTTCAATTTTGATTTTTCTGGTGAATTAAGAAATTGTGAATTTTTTCAGATTTTTATTCATTATTCAGGTATCTTCTTTTATAAAGTGTCTGTTCAAGGTGTTTTTTCATTTTTCTATTGGTATTGTCTATTTTTAACATAATCTTGTTGATTTACAGCTATTGTTTATAGATTTAGAATATAAGTCCTCTGTCAGATACATGCATTTGGAAAAATCATCTTCCAAAAGGGGATTGCCATTTCACCCTCTTATTGATGTCCTTTGATAGACAAAAGGTATAAACTGTATACATTATAATTTATTTTATTTTCCTCTGGGTTTAGGATTTTGTTGCCTTCTTAAGAAATATTAGTAAATTCAACATAGTGAAAATGTTACTTCTATTTATCCTACAAAGCTAGAATTATCTTGTTGTAAACCATTATTCAGATGTAAAATCAATCTGCAAAATATAAAATATTCATATATTTTTCAAAATGTTTTTTTGGTATTAAAAAGTCAATTTTAATTTTGCAATGAATCACTATGCGACTAAAACAGATGGTATTTAATAAGCAAATATTATACAGAGCTATTTTAAAAAACTAAAGATTTCTCTCAAATATAGAGAAAGAATAAATCTTGCTTTTCTGAATGGCTCATATACTCAAGAAACTAAAATACTCTTCTAAAGAGCAGCTTTGTATCATCTATCAGAAACATTATTCTACCAAGACCGAATCTTAGTAATTAATCTTCAGGGAAGATAGTAACACTGATTCCTAGGGCATCATCATTTTCACATTCTTTAACATTTTCTTCAGTAAAACATTTGCTGTGTGCTTCTTCTGGGTTTCTTTCCTTCTTACGAGTATACGATGATTTATTTTTTGTCTTTGATTTTCTCTTTGGGACGTGCGTTAGTAATGTTTTCTTTTTCCAAAGCATGCTGTAGGCAGTTATAAAGCCTTTCAATTCTCTTCTTGTTTTCCTCCATTTTTTGATTTGCTATCTTTAACAGGAAGTCAATATATTCCTCAGTCACCATCAGTTTTCCCTTATGGCTTAATGGAACTTCTAAGCCATGTGTGCTCCGGATAGCCAACATAGTCTTTCCTCTCTTTCCCACGGTGATGCCGGAGTCCCTGAAACCAGAATCTATTGCCACTGAATGCAGAATCTGTGCATCCTGCAACTGTCGACACTGCACATGAAGAACGAGTGGTTCAAATTTCAAAATGGCATCACCATTTGCTTTCTTCAGAGCTGCCATCACATCATCCTTTACACAAGGTTTATGTGTAACCAGTAGCCAGCAACGGTTTTGCTTTTGAACCTCAAAACCATTTATATCCCCATCTAGGAGGATGATGCGCCCAGCGCAGGAACTGGTGGTGAAGTACGGTTCTCGCCCATTCAGGAGCTGTACAAGTTCTACCACGTCCTCGTCCACACTGCCCTTCCGGCTGAGGTCAGCTTTGCTCAGACACTGCGCCTTCCATCTCCTGAACTCTGTGGTATGATCCATCCAAGGAAGGATTTAGAGTCTATACTTTGTCGTTAGCCCACGCCTCTCCCTGAGGGAAGCCATTTTGAAGCGGGTGGTGGCCGGAAAGTCAAAATGTTTTTTAAAATAGGTTTCTAAGAGATGCAGTACATTTTTAATGATGAAAAGGTGAAAAACACATGTTTTGGATTATGTTACTATATTTAATAAACACCTTTGAGAAGAAAAAAGTGACATTTGCATTTTGACTTTTTCAACCTATGAACATGGTCCATCCAGGACTTTCATAATGCATCTTAATAGAATTTTGAAGTTTTCAGTTCAGTAATCTTGCACACCTTTCTTTAAATTTATTCTTAGAAACTTACTTTTGATGCTATTGTTAGGAGCAATTTTTAATTGCACTTTTCATTTATTTTAATGTAATAGAAGAATCCAATATTTTGTATATTGATCTTATATCTAACAAACTCATCAAGAGCATATTAATTTTATATTTCTACAATTGCTTTTATGTTCTAGGTAAATAAGTCATCTATGAGTAATAACAGCTTGATGTTTTCCTTCAAATTGTAGATGTCTTTGAATTTTTTTCCCTCACCTTGCGATGGCTTGGCTATCTAGTAGAAGACTTAACAGGGGTAGTGTTAAAAGGCATTTTTTCTTTCATTCCCTTTCCCAGGAATACCTGAATATTAGGTATTTCTCCACTGAATTCAATCTTTACTGTAGATATTTTAAACAATTTTTCCTTAATTTCTTAATTTCAGAATCCTAGATAACCTAGTGAGGCTATGGATGAGAAACAATCTTACTTTCAAACCAATCTATTCTTAGCTTCTTTATTTTCCTATAAAATTTTTTCTTGAAAACTGAGTAGGCTCGGGCATTTTGTTTTGTTTTATTTTTATTTTTTGCTTGTTTTGCTTCCTATCTCATTTCTCTATATTCATATCCCATTAAAAGGAGCTTAAAGAAACCAGTTAGCACTTTTGAAATCTGGCCACAAATTTCCTTTTCTAGATCAAAGAATAAGATATTCTCTTTTCCATGTTACTACAGATGATAGTTTTGCTAAATATTCTGCATCTACATGAACAACTATAGTGGTTCAGAGAAGCAATGGTCTTGCTTTTTCAGTTAGAAGAGGTTGTGTGTGTAGGCCATTCCTAATACCTGGTTTATGATTTGGCTAATTGAGCCAAGAAGCTGCTGCTTTAGGTGGAAGAGACAGCATAGTCTTTAGAAAGTTGGGTCCACTTTAATTTCCACAGCCCCAGATTTGAAGGATAACCACATTCTTCTTTCAAGATATTTTGGCCAGGAATGGCACCGCTTTCTAGCTATCCATATAAGCTACCTTTTATTTTAGTCACTGAAGTTTGGTGAGCTGGCTTTGTGTTGTCTCTGTAGTACAATGTAATAGTCAATATTTTTGTCATTATTCAAATGGTAGCAAATAAATCAGGAAAAATGAGGAAAAGGAACATGCTTATGTTCTGTTTCTTGTTTTTTGTTTTTTTCCTTCTGCGTTACTTGGAATAAAGACATTTAAACGCATCAACACTGTTTTACAGGATTCATGCTGGCATTTACCATGAAGTCATGCTTTGAGTCTTCTATATATTCAGATTCCCCATTGCATCATTTATATGAATGTACAGTAAGCACTATGATACATATATCTGCATTTCTGGAAGTGTCTAACATTTGCAAATATTTTATAATAGCTTTCATTAAAAGAACCATCTAGCTGAGAAGTCACAGAATAAATATATGAAAAAGTTAAACACCATTACAAGAGATACATAAATATTCAACACAGCGATGTAAAAGGATCATAAGATAATTCATGCTCAACAAAAATTTTTATAGACTCAAACTGAATAGAACTATTGAGGGGGTAAAGGAAATAGAATGGTTAGTTCATTTTCTTCAGAGCTTCAAAACCAATGGGAAGTGTAACCACAATTCTTCTAAAAAATTCTAGAGTATGTATAAAGAAAATTGAAAATCCATGGGAAGGCATAGAGCAGGTTGTGGAAATTATCAGGTCACCTGCTGATAATCCAGATAATTCCAATTATAGAATTCACCCATAAAAAGTGGGCATTATGGTGAATTCTTAATGAGGTAATGAGGTGTGATAGGGTTTGGCTCAGACAGTGAAAGATTCAAGAGTCAATTCCAGCCCACAACAGCCAGTGGTATTTTTAAATGATTCTACTTCAGTTCTTAAATGTCATCACTTCTTGTGGGGCATCAGAAAGAGAGGCCTCTCTCCTCTTATGTCTTCCTTCACTTAAAATTAATAGTTTTTTTTTTTGCTGTCAAATTTCATTTCATATTTGATTGTGTGTCAACTCTTCTTTGTGAATAGCTATTTTAGATAGAAAAAAAATCACAATTCTATTTTCTGGTGATGGCCAAGAAAAAAAACAAGTAATTGATCTGTGTGTTCTGCTTTACTGCTCATTTTAAATGTCTCCAATCATCCTGAGTTGTAAATTATCTATTTGTTCTTTTAAACCCTAATTTTTCTACTTAACTTCCACCATAGAATTAGGGTCAAGGACTATGTCAGTCTTCACAACACTAAGATATTAATCCTAAACTACTTTCTCCCCAGAATTCTATCTTCATGCTTCTACTCTGTCCCACACTCCAATTTTTTGATGCTGACAAATTTCCAATGTGGTTGCCTAATTTTCCCACTTGTGATGACTCCCACTTTATATTTCCAAGGACATTTAGGTGAGTTAGGAAGCTTGGAGGGGATAAATTACTGGGAGCAGAGTCATTGTGGCATTTCTAGATTTCTGCCAGTCCCTCTGAGCCAAGGTATTATGCAAAAGTAAGGCTGGGAAGGATACAGGTTTAGTGGGGCCTAAATATTAACAGTTCGTGGAACCCTTTTAAGGTAAAAACCCACAAAACTATGAATACAAAACGAAGTAAAAATAAAAGTAGATATTTCTTTAGAATGAGGAAATAAGAGGCCTTGGAAGGGGGCTGTTGTGAGGGACCCTGAAGTATAAGCTACATTATTAGTTTATATTGAAACCTCTCATGGAGGAAAATATCTTAGGGCATGATGTTTGAAGAATCATTAACAAGATCCCTTGTCTACTGAAAAGAAATCCACTAGAGTTGAATTTAAATGTAATAAAATAATAATCTTATTTACTAAAATGAATCAAATTGAAGTTTTTCTTTTTCCCCATTCTTTTCCTTTAAATTGAGGTATAATTGATACATAACATTTTAGTTTTAGGTGTACAACATAATGATTCAATATTTGTATACATTGTGAAATGATCACCACAAGTCTAGTTACCACCCATCTTTATAAAAAGCTGCAAAATGTTTTTCTTGCAATGAGAACTTTTTTTATTATCTTATTTTATTTAAATTCAATTAATTAACAAATAGCGTATCATTAGTTTCAGATGTAGAGTTCAGTTGTTCATCAATTACATATAATACCCAGTGCTCCTTACATCACGTGCCCTCCTTAATGTCCATCACCCAGTTACCCCATCCCCCCACCCACCTCCCTTCCAGCAACCCTCGGGTTGTTTCCTGTAGTTGAGAGTCTCTTAGGGTTTGTCTCCCTCTCTGATTTCATCTTATTTTATTTTCTCCTCCTTTCCCCTATGATCCTCTGTTTTGTTTCTTAAATTCCACCTATGAGTGAAACCATATGATAATTGTCTTTCTCTGATTTATTTTGCTTAGCATAATACCCTCTAGTTCCATCCACGTCATTGCAAATGGCAAGATCTCATTCTTTCTATGGCTGAGTAATATTCCATTGTGTATATATACCACATATTCTTTATCCATTCATCTGTTGATGGACGTCTGGGCTCTTTCCATAGTTTGGCTATTGTGGACATTGCTGCTATAAACATTGGGGTGCAGGTGCCCCTTCAGATCACAACGTTTGTATTCTTTGGGTAAATACCTACTAGTGCAATTGCTGGGTTGTAGGGTAACTCTATTTTTAACTTCTTGAGGAACCTCCATACTGTTTTCCAGAGTGGCTGTACCAGCTTGCATTCCCACCAACAGTGTAAGAGGGTTCCTCTTTCTCTGCATCCTCGACAACATTTGTTGTTTCCTGACTTGTTAATTTTAGCCATCCTGACTAGTGTGAGGTGGTATCTCATTGGAGTTTTGATTTGCATTTCCCTGATGCTAAGTGATGTTGAGCATTTTTTCATGTGTCTGTTGGCCATTTGTATGTCTTCTTTGGAGATATGTCTATTCATGTCTTCTGCCCATTTCTTGAATGGGTTATTATTTTTTTGGGGGGGTGCAGTGAGAACTTTTAAGATTTACTTCCTTGGTAACTTTTGGTGACTTTCAAATATGCAATACATATTATTAACTCCGGTCACCATGCTGTACATTACATCTCCATGACTTATTTGTTTTATAACTGGAATTTTATACCTTTGGACTCCCTTTTCCTATTTCACCCACCTCCATCCCCCACTTCTGGCAACAACAAATCTATTCTCTGTATCTATAAGTTTGGTTTCTTATTTCACTTAGTATAATGCCCTCCAGGTCCTTCCATGTTTCAGCAATTGGCAAGATTAAATTATTTTTTTATGGTTGAGTTTTGTTTATATTGTATAATCTTTATCCATTCATCCATCGATGGATACTTAGGTTGTTTTCATATCTTGGCTAATGTAAATAATGCTGCAATGAACATGGGGGTGTATATATGTTTCTGAGTTGGTGTTTTCATTTTCCTCAGATAAATACCTAGAAGTGGAATTACTAGGTCATATGGTAGTTCTATTTTAAAATTTTAAGAAACCTCCATACTGTTTTCCATAGTAACTACACCAATTTACATTCCAGCCAACAGGGCCCAAGGGTTCTCTTTTTTCCACATTCTTGCCAAGGCTGTTTATGTCTTTTTGATCATAGCCATTCTAACAAGCATGACGTGATAGCTCATTGTAGTTTTGATTTTCATTTCCCTGATTCTTAATGATGTTGAGTTTTCTTTATGTACCTGTTGGCCATCTATATATCTTCTCTGGAAAATGTCTATACAGATCCTCTGTCCACTTTTTTTAGTCA